GACCTTAACCACTTGCGCCACCGCGCCGGGCCCCAAACCAAGTATTGTGCAGTCCATTGGTCACTCTGGACTTTTGAGAATTGAATTCACTAATCCTTTGAACACTTGCAGTGTATCAAGTTCTGTGCTGAGGTACGGGCACATCAAGAAAAATAAGGGCCAGTGCCACGACATAGCAAGTTAGACCACTGTCTGCACCAGAATCCCATCTGAGCACTGCTTTGAGTCATGGCTGCAGCACTTCTGATCCAGCTCCCTGCTGGTGCTCCAAGAAAAGCAATAGCAGATGGCCCAAGCACTTGGGGCCCTGCCAGCTGCATGTGAGACCTGGATGGTACTCAAGTCTCCTGACTTTGGTCTGGCCCAGCCCTGGTTATTGCAGCCATTTGGGGAATGAATTAGCATATGGAAGATTCCTCTCTATCTGCAACTTTACCTTTCAAATACATTTTTTTTTTCATAAAAAGAAAGAAGTATGAGACGCAATTGTCACATTCCTAGGAAGTTACAACTTCCTGAGGAGTTGTAAGCATGGACCAATTTCAATGCAATGCAAGGCAAGACACTATGCTAATTGGGTCCAAACAGGCTTGAACAGTGCACTGGGACAGGCTGGAGACCCGGTTCACAAGAATACTTTGTGGCTAAAACTATCTGTTTCTTTGACATTTCTTGAGCACTAACTGTATGCCAAGCATGGAGTCATGTGCTTTTCTGGAAGATGAAATCCACAGGCTCTGGTCCCTGCCTACAACTGTCCATTTAAGGAATTCTTCTTGAGCACTAACTATGCACGAGGCCCCAAGCTGGACCTCATAGAATTATAGATGACTAAGCATGCTCTTTATCTTACCATCTACTTACTTTACTATCTACTTAAAAAAAAAATGAATGGCTATTTATAAGCTTGCAGCAATCTAAGGCTTGGATCAAAATACAGTTCCTAGAAGAACTGTCAACAGCCTGAGTCTGAGCTGAGTTTCACCTTTGAGTTTCTGCAGAGAACATGGATTCTCTGAGAACCCGTCTTGCCAACCGGAAGGAGATTGGAGTGGATCTTGGGTGGTTACAGTGCACGTGTGCTGCCTTAAGCCACACCCACTCAACTCTCAGGATCCTGAAGGGAAAGAATCCCACCCAAGAACTGGCTTAAAGAACAGCCCTTGCACACTGCCTCACACCAAGGAGGCAATTAGTAGGCATTGGGAATTTCAAAGACTCTGATCCCTAAGGCTTAGTCAATGGTGTATGCTTAAAATTACAGAAAAACTCTGAATGTGTGTGTGTGTGTGTGAAGTCAGCAATTTAAAAACTTTACAGAACTAGACGCTGGGAATCAAATCCAGCACTCAGGACTAATGACATCATTCCATGTCTCGTATTTCCAGGTTCTACCCACAAACTCATGGGATGAAGCCAACTATGAATTTGCCCTTGGCATGAGGCAGAACATAAACTTGCAGTACGGGTGCACGTGCTTTGTACTGATTGCCAAACTCTGTGTGAATGTGTGGGGGCATCTTCTCTCACTGAAGCACTCCCAGGGCTCACTCACTTCTGACCAACTTGATCTCTAGCCAAGTCCTTGAAGCTCCATCAAGCACACAGTACCTCCTAATGCAAACTGAGCTTTTTCTTTTGAAGATTCATTCATTTTATTTGAAAGAGTTATAGAGAGAGGGTAAAACACACACACACACACACACACAGATCTTTCATCTGCTACTTCATGCCCCAGATGATTGCAACAGCCAGGGATGGGCCAGACCAAAGCCAAGAGCCAGGAGCTTCTTCCATGTCTCCCACATGAGAAGCAGGAACCCAAGTATTTGAGTCATCTTCCACTGCTTTCCCAGGCTGTCAGCAGGGAGCTGGACTGAAAGTGGAGCAGCCAGGACTTGAACAAGTGCCCATAGGAGATGCCGGCATTGCAGGCAGTATACTTTACCTGCTAAGCTACAACTATGACACCACAATCAGAGATTTTTCAAAGTGCTATTGCAACAAGCCTAGAAAGCATGGCAACTTTAGGGTTTTCCAGTGTATGGTTTGCCAGCCCATTGTAGCACAAAATAAAACATCTATAGCTGTGATGAGAGTGGACACCAAGTAGGGTGATAACAGCCATCTTAGTCATCACAATCCATTCCTAGAAGTCTTTGGGGTCCGTGGGACAGCAAGACGGTGACTTCTGTGGACTGAATAGGACTCCGTGGGTGACACTGTCCCAATCTGTCCGCTGAGAAGCAGCATGCGAGGGGGATTAATGGCACGCAGAAGCCCAGGACAGACCCAGCCCCGGCTTGCCAGTGTGCTGCCCAGAAGAAGGCAAGAACATGGCACAGAGTGATTAGTGCCAAAATTAACACAAGTGACTCAACTAAAAACACCTTTCCTTTTGCTGGTGGAAACTTGACTAAGTGAGTCTCAGTGCTTTGGACTCGACAGACACATTAACCTGTCTACTACTTAGTCACCTGTGCTCCCCAGTGTCCACCCCCGTGCTCAAGTTCATCACTCCCTTCTGGGCTGTGCGGAACACTGGTCTGCCCTAACCAGATGATTCTCCTTCAACTGACCTCATCACTCCAAAGTGCTAAGTCATTTCAAACCAGGTTTGCAGCAAAGGCAGAGAGAAATCTGTTGGTGTGGCATCTGAATCATTTCCCGAGGCACTGCCTGAGGTCTTGAACCTAACTTTGAACTAAGACTCCACACTTGTGGCCTGCAGGGTTTTATTTCCTACACAGTAGTACTCTTCCATGAGTCCTCCCTGCATACACTTGCCCTCGGTAGACACGGGTTGTGAGCCAGGGATGCCCAAGGGCCCTATCATTCCAAGCAGATGTGAGAAGGAAGCTACTTTGGTGAGACTCTGCCCCCACCTGCCTGGATCACCAAGCACACCAAACAGGTATCACCAGGGCCTCTGAACAGGTGTTATCTCGAGAAGGTATTGGACAGTTACAGGGCACAAAATCTCAGACACACAAGCTTCTGCCAAGTAAAGCTCTAGCAAATCTAGCAATTATTAACATCTGCTGCTGCTTCCTCTCCAAGCCAAAGTCAGCTTTGTCAGACAGGATGCCATATGGGCAAGTCAGAAAACGTGCTCCTCCACAATGGGCCGGGAAAGCAGAAGGGGCCCTGTCTTACCCACGCCGTTCCAGGTTCTGCCCCACCTCCACATCACTCCCACACGAAGCTGCTCACCGGAAACACCACCCACTAGATCCACTGGACACACACCATCCACTGGCCCCACTGGAAAAGAGTAACCAAAGCACTTATGTTGTCTGAAGACCCATGTTTTTCCATGATCCACATTTTTTTCTTGACCACCAGTCTGTACTGGTCTGGGTGCTGGATCTAGGATGCACTGCATTCTCACACTGGGAGATCTGAAGGCTACCACAGTCCCTGGCACCCTCCTCAACTTTAAAGCTAAAAGTCAGTGTTGTGGTATGTGTGGACGTTGTGCACCTGCCATCTCATAGCTTCACTGGCAAGAGGTCAAAATTCAGATTTGGTCAGTCATGCTTGTGATGGTGGAACTCTGGTGGGCCCCCTCAGGCTGTGAAGCCATGGTTGCACCATATCCCGGCACCAAATAATGGTCAAGGCGACCCCTGTTTCGGCTTCCGGGTCAAGGAGAGTTTAAAAAGACCTTTACCCATCTCTTCCACGCTCTTCTTCCTCTGCAGACTTCAAGAAGCTTTTTTTCCCACCCATTTTCCCTTAAATAGCGTCTCCTAAATTTTTTCCCCCAAGTGCCAAAAAATAAGAATTTTTGTTTTGTTTGGGTTTTGGGTTTTAAGAGCTAGAATCCAGACCCTATGGGAAATTCCATTGGGCTTAAACTTTATAGAAGGCAAGGGTTTTAGCATAACAAATCAAATCCTAAATCTCAGGTGGCAATTCAGATGATAATTAAAACCCCACCTGAGAGAGAGAGAGAGAGAGAGAAGAGAGGATGACATTTCCTAGTGCAAATGGGAAACGCCTGGTTTGCAGGCTCAGCGGCCAGTGCCAAAGCCAGGCAATGCAGTTACAGCACACAACGCCCTGATGTTCAAACTCAAGGGGCATGGCAGCTTCTCCCTCTGCAGTCTCGCTCGCTTCCAACACCAATGTCAAAGCAATCAGTGGAGACGCTGCTGCAGATGACATGGCTGCAAATCTGTGTTCAAAGTGTTTTTTTTAAGCCAGTAGGTTTCTCTTTTCCCCAATTAAAAAGAAAATTCAGTTTTGCTTTAATGGAGAGATTTTTTCCCCCAAAATTTAAACTCCACACACACAGCAAAATGGCTTTTTAAAAAGGCATGTATTTCTCTCCAGCCTTTGAAAGTTACTTTAAACCAGCAGGAGTTAGCACTGAAACGCAGAGAGAGCTGTGCATTTCAGCATGCTAACACGAAACTGGTTTTTTTTTTTTTTTGCCCCTTTCAGAAACCCACATCTGAGGGTTTCCTAGCCACGTGCAAAGTTTCCTCTTTTCTACTTTTGGTCTGATGGCCCAATTGGCATCTTGATAACAGTGGGCTCAGCACACATTTGGCCCTGCTGGTTTGCCTCCCAGAGTCCTGCATGGCCTCACTTCCGTTAGCCCTTTCATGCAAGCTTAAACAAACGAAGAATTTCAAGGTTTCCTTGAAACAGCCTGCTAGTAGTTCAGAGAGATGGAGAGACAACAAAGATCAGATTATAAAAATAAGGGACCTAGGGAGTGTGTGGTATGCTGAGTTCAAGTGCAGGGAGCCACTCCTACTCTCCCCAGGCTGAGGGTACTGAGACAGCTGCAGACCAGAAGGACTTTAAGAGAGCCTAGTCCTCCCCACAAACAGGTAAAAAGTTCATGAAGCAGGAAGTGAAAAGTGAGCTCATGACACTGCCAACTTTGTCGGAACCACATCTTCTAACCCCATTCTCCATGAGCTTTCCTGTTTTCCTGGTAAGCCAACCAGACCACATGTTCAAAGACACACACACAGGGTACTCACCTGGACTTTGGGGGTGGGGGAGGAGGTGAGAAAGTCTCCATCCTGCTCCTGTCCTTGGGAAACTCGAAGGCAAATGAGGCCGACTTGCTCATCCCTGTGCTGGCCTTGCTGTGCTGCCCGGAAGAGGTGGCATCTGGGGGCTGCACCCGATGCCAGGTGGAGGAGCTGGAGGGACCGTTCAACTCTCTTCCCCAGCTGTGACTCAGCAACTCGTGTCCTGCCTCCTCCTCTTCCTCTATCCGGCATTGCCGGCTCCAGGCACCTGTCTGGAACCTGGGCCGCCTGGGGTCCAAGGCTGAAGGGGGGGGTGCTGGGCACCTGACAGGGTTGCTGGTAGCCACCCCATTGGTCCGGCAGGCAGGAGTGGGGTCGACAGGGCCTTTGCACGCAGGTGCCAGCCCCAGGCTGCCACTGCCGGGGCTCCCATCGCTGAGGTCAGCCAGTGGGGAGGTGGAAGGTGACACAGGGGAGCCCCCAGGGCTGCTCCTGGACAGCTTCGGGGGGATGGCAGGCTTCCCTCTGGGTGTGCTGTTGCCAGCACTGTGAGGATGCTGGCTTTCCCTGTAGCTCACCGCAGGAGCCTCGTCCTCGCCTGCCTCAATGTCCTGGCACACCGGCCCCTGCGGCCACTGCACACCCACCGCGGAGTCAGGGCTGCTAAGATAGATGGTGCGGTGGTCCTCCTCCGGGTGGGCTGCCATGACCGTGATGGTGGCAGCCACCTGGGGCACCAGGTCCGAGCCCTCCCTGTCCCGGCCCCTGCCCTGTGCTGCTTTCGGAGCCCGGGCGTCACCTGTCCACGCCTGGCCCTGGGCTGCCTGTTCTGACTTGGCCTGGTTCCGTGAAGAGCCCGAAGGTGCTTTCTTCCTCTTGGTGCTCTCAGCATAGATGGGTTCTGGCCGAGCAGCGGTTCCGGCCTGAGTGGGGAGTTGTGACTCCACTGCAGGCCCCACGCACCTGCTGGAGGTCGCTAGGGAGGTGTGGCAGCCAGAGTCCGGCTGCTTCCCCTGGACAGGGTCCTTGACCAGGGAGCAGTAGTCGTTCTCGAGGTGCGGAGCGAAGGGACTGCTAGCGCCACTGCTGCGGCTGCCACAGGAGAGGCCGTCAGAGGAGCTGGCCGCCTCAGAGGCCAGGGAAGGCTTCTTGGGGCCCAGGCAGGGTGGCGTGCTGGCGGAAGGGCCCTGACTGTCACTCAGTGCCCGCCTCTCCTCCGCACTGGGCTCCCAGCGCTGCGGTGAGCAGTCTCCAGCCCCGGGCAAGGGTTCCGGGGCAGTGGGGTTCCCAGGGCAGCAGTCCAGGATGGAGCAGTACTCGCCACCCTCGCTGTCCCCAGAGGGTGAGCACCTGGGGTCGCTGTCATCTTCAGAGGGCAGGGACCCCCGCGGTGGCGGCGGTGGTGGCGGCAGTGGCGGCTGCGGGGACGGGCAGGACCGGGGCCCTCGGTGGCCGCCAACGCCGCTTAAGCTCTTCCCCGCGAAGGCCGCCAGTTTCTGTCGGAAGCTCTCCTGAGCTGAAGGCAGCTCTGCGTGTGGAAAGGAGGCTTTGTCCTCTCGGTTTGGCTTTTCGTCCTGGAAGCCCACAGGGTGGAAAGCAATGCTCCGGTCCCCCCGGGCCTCCAGGTTGTGCAGGCCGACCATGGCGTAGGCGGGTGGGCAGCGGGGGCTGCCGTCGGAGCAGGCCGAGGGGCTGGTGGGCTTGGGGACGCCGCGGAAATTGCTCAGGTACACCAGGGGCACATCATCTGGCTTGGGCAGGGGCAGCTTGCCAGGGGTGCGCCTCCAGATGCCCTAAAGGGGTTAAGAGACTGCCGTTAGGGAAGTGGCTTGCGGCTGTCCTCCACTGCAAGCAGGCAGCCCCTTCTTCCCTCCCAGGGTTGGCCATGCTTTTGGTTTATAAATCTGAGGGGAAGAGGGAAAAGGCCTTTTTCCTTCTTCTCTTACAGGTGTCAAGTAAAGTAAGTTCCCCTACAGGCTTAGAAAAGATTTTGGCCCAGCAGTAAAGCCAGTAGCTTGTGGGCCCTGAGTACCATATAGGTGCTGAGTGGTGTCCCAGCTGCTCCACTTCTGATCCGCCTGGGACAGCCGTGGAGGAAGCTTGGGTGCTGCACCCATGTGAGAGACCCACGGCTCCTGGCCTTGGCCTAGACCCAGTTCGCATCTGGGGAGTGAACCAATGGATTAAGTGCACTTTCTCTCCTTTCTCTGTGACTCTTTCAATAGCTAAAGCTGTAAAAACAAAACAAACAGTTGGGTTTTGTTTAATTTTTGTTTCACATTCATTGTTTTTTTTTTTTTTAACATTTATTTACTTTTATTGAAAAGCCAGATTTATAGAGAGGAGAGACAAAAAGATCTTCCATCTGCTAGTTCACTTCTTAAATGGCATTGATGGCCAGAGCTGAACCCATCCGAAGTCAGGAGCCTCTTCTGGGTCTCCTATGAGGGTGAAGAGTCTTTAGGCTTTGACCCATCCTGCTTTCTTAGAGCATACACAGGGTGCTGGATGGGAAGTGGAGCAGCTGGGACTGCAACTAGCACCCATTTGGGATGTCAGCACTTGCAGGCGGAAGATTAGCCCATTGAGCCATCACACTTGCCCTTAAGCCTGTCTCCAGGCACTCCAGAAGAAGCCAAAGTCAGGATGATTTAAAACCCTTGTGGGAGGTGGGGGAAGATACAGACAGGGCAGGAGAGTGGGAGAGGGCATGGGGGTGGGGGTGCCGAGATCCAGAAGTCGACTGCTCACGATCACCCCCTCTTCTTTTCTCAGTCCTTGCCTATCCCTACTGCTAGAAGCAATCTCAAACAGCACTGGCTTCTGGCTTCTTACCCACGCCCCCCATTCCTCCACATCAGGAAGGTGGTTGGGGGGATCTGAACCTGGAATCCTTGCTCAGCATGTGAGAGGTGAACGGGCTTTAACTGGCATAGGACAATCTGGGCAGCCCCGAGAAAGCCAGCCATGTTGAAGCTCACTGCCTCACCAAGAAATGCCATTCTTCAGTTAGGTGTCCCCTGATTTGAAACTGACCTTTGAACAATGGCTCCTACACCCTTCCTGGCCCACTCACTCCTGAGCAAGGCCGCTTGGAGCCAAGAGGCCCAAAAGGGAGCCAGCACTCCTGGAAGGTGTCTGGGACCTGCGGCTTCCCACACTTGTTTACAGGTAACAGGCCTGGTCATTGTGCCTTCTAGATGGCTGCGGTTTTTTAATAGAGTTCTCTGTGGGATAGATTGGAATGGTCTAGCTCTCTGGGAGATGCAACTGTCTTCAGTGACCTGAAATCAAAGCTACTGAAATGCCCACTTCAAAACTGGAACTGGGAATTGGGGGGGCAGGGGATGATGGCATGCCGTTGCTGCTGATACTTCTCTCAGCGTGGTTATACTTTTTAATAAAGAATTTGCCTTTGACAGTTATGTGTGAAAATGATGCAAGCATCCGTGCTTGGCACAGGAAGGAAGGAGCTAAGTGGGAGCTGTGGGTTATGAATTCATGTTGGCTAAAGTCACCTTGAGACATTTTGGGTACATAACATTCTTCAAGCCATGCTTTCTACTTATATACATTATTTTATCAATTGGACAAAAAAATTAAAACTCCTTTTAAAAAGCTTCATTTGTTGTGGGCCACATTGTGGCACTGTGAGGTTGAGCCTCTGTCTGCAACACTGGCACCCATATCACAGCGCTGGTTTGAGTCCCAGCTGCTCCACTTCTGATCCAGCTCCCTGCTAATAGCCTGGGCAAAGAAGCAGACGGTGGCCAACTACAGCCCCGTGGAAGATCTGGAGGAAGCTGTTGGTTTCTGGCCTTGGCCCGGTCCAGTCCTGCCCATTTCAGCCAGTTAGGGAGTGAACTAGTGGATGGAAGATCTCTCTCTGTCATTCTGTTTCCAAATAATGAAATAAAACTTTTATAAAACTGGCATTGCACAATATGAAAATAAATCATAAAGTTCTTGCTAATCATTCTTTTTAAAAAGCTTCATTTGTCGGGCCCGGCGCGGTGGCGCAAGTGGTTAAGTCCTCGCCTTGCACGCCCGGGATCCCATATGGGCGCCGGTTCTAATCCCGGCAGCCCCGCTTCCCTTCCAGCTCCCTGCCCGTGGCCTGGGAAAGCAGTCGAGGACGGCCCAAAGCTTTGGGACCCTGCACCCGCGTGGGAGACCCGGAAGAGGCTCCTGGCTTCGGATCGGCATAGTATCGGCCCGTTGCGCTCACTTGGGGAGTGAATCATCGGACGGAAGATCTTCCTCTCTGTCTCTCCTCTCTGTATATCCGCCTTTCCAATAAAAAAAAAAAATAATAAAAATAAATCTTTAAAAAAAAGCTTCATTTGTCTTCCCATCTATAGTCTCAAGGTCAAATAGTTCTTCGCCTAAGGGGACCCACACAAGGGAGTGTAGTTACAGTTACACACTCCAGTTGGGAAAGAGCCATCTTGGGGCTCGGGATTGGAAGCCAACCTGCAGGAAAAGGGCTCCCACAGCCCTCACTGACTGCCACCAGTTACCCAGGGTCAGAAGAGAAGCAGCCCCTGGAAAAAAGCCACCTTACCTGTGAGACCTCGGCACTCAGGCTGGGCTCTGCCCACACGTCGGGGGCCTCCGAGCTCATCATGGTGGGCTTCACAGCGATGGTGGGCTTGGAGTAGGGTGAGCCACTCACGCCCTCATCTTCCAAGCGTCCGTTTTCAGGCTTGGGGGGCAGGCGAGGTACAGGAGGGGTGGGCAGGCTGCCCGCTCGGGGTTGGGACCGAGCAGCAGCCGGCTGGTGGTCGCTCCGCAGGCAGAAGCAGTTCTTGCAGGACCCGGGCTTCCAGATGTGCTCCACAAAGTCACTGCACGCTGACATCTTCAGGCTCTTTAGGGTCAGTGGGACAGCGTGCTGCATCTTGGGCTCATGGGGTGCTGGCTCATCTTGTGCTCGGCTCGCTGGTGTGGCCTGGTAAGTGGAAGAGGTGGGTCCCAGAGTGACTTCCTAGAAAGACAGACAGCTCACCTAATTAGAAACCTGCCCTACTCAAGGCCAGTGTGGGCAACGGGAGTCTATTTCATAGGGAAGAGAGAGCTAAGGAGGAATGTTCCATTCCATGGTTTGCATAAAGCCCTTACACACTTTTGAGTAATGTGGATTTATCAGATGTATAAAAGCTAAACACTCCTCGTGACATTTAGAACAAAAAAAACCACCTGGGCCCCCCTAAAATCTTGGGTGCTTGAAGGTTTCTGGGCCCCTACCGGAAGGAATCATGCAGAGTTTGAGATGGGAAGCTTGTGCTTTGCTTACTGGGAGTGCAGGGCCGTGACACTGACCCCAGAAAAACATGGACCTCAAAGTGTGTGACCAATCAGAGCAGTGGTTCCCAGATAACAAGTTACAATTTTTGCCTGAGAATCATGCCAGAGTGAAGGCGGCACTGGAATGCACTCCTCTGAGCAGGTGGAGGAGGGGACATTGTGGTGTTGTGGTGCTGACCTGTCCCCTAGGGCAAAACTTGTTGGGGGTCTGGCATCTTCAAGACACCCCCACTCAACACACACACACACACACACACACACACACACACACACACCTTACTGTGCATCCTTCAACCCTGTGCTGAGTGAGGTCACTGCAGCTCAGTGCCTGTTATCCTGACCAAGGCCAAGCCCTGGCCGATAGAACAGAATGGGAAGCAGGGAGTGTCAAACAGGTTTTGTCCATGTGGTAACTGAATAAAAGACGACTGGCAGTTCACACTATCTGGGGAAGAGCTCAAAGATGTATAATTACCCAATTAACCGAAGTGACATCCCATCTAGTTGCTATTAACCCCATTTCACAGAGGGGAAAACGAAGGCAAAGACCTAGTGGCTGGCATCAATTGTAGCATAACAGGTTAAACTGCTGCATGTGATGTAGGAAGATCAGGCCAGACTTCAGGTGTGAGTACTGGCAGCTCCATTTCCCATGCAGCTAATTAACATACCTTGGAAAGCAGCGGAGGATGGCCCAAGTACTTGGACCACTGCCATCTACCTGAAGCTCTTGGCTTCAGCCTGGTCTAACAGCCTGACTGCTGTGGTCAGCTGGGGGGTGAGCCAGCAGATGGAAGAATTTGTCCTGTCTATTTCAGTCTCTCCCTTTGTGTCTATCTGTCATATAAATAAGTATATCTTTATAAGAAAAACCAGGAGCTGTCCAGGGATACTGAGAGTTTGCCGGGGTCCACCTGCTGGCCTAGAATTATGCACTGGATTCCTGTTGGGGGAGGGTACCTGGGAAAGTCTCTGGGAGACCCCAGGGTGAACAGATTCTCATTACACAGAGGCAATTTGGCCCCAGGCCTGGCTTTGCTCCCAAGAGAATCTGCTGGAGGTTGATGCGCTCTAAACTGTCAACAGGACTAACCAGGTGGAATGTGCCAGGAGCTCCGAGCTCATTCCAGTCTCCATGGGAAGTGCTCCTGGTCTCACTCCCACACTTACACACAGGAGCGCTCAACAGTGCTGGGCCCAGGGCCCTCTCATCCCTCCAAAGCTAGCAGGGGAGCCTACAGAACCTCCATGTGGCCAGAACACTTGGGAATAAAGGCAAGTATTCGTCTGTCAGCAGTCACACTGGATCCTCCTCTCTCTTTTAATGATTTATTTATTTGAAAAACTGAGAGAGAAATAGACAGAGCAAGAGAGATCATCTATCTATTAGCTCACTCCCCAGATGGCCCCCGACAGAAAAGGCTGGGCCAGGAAGTAGCCTGGAGCCAAGAGTGACATACAAGTCTCCCACGTGGGCAGCAAAGTCCCAATATCTGGACCATCTTCCACTGCTTTGCCCAGACCATTAGATGGGAGTTGGATCAGAAGTGGAACAGCTGTGACATGAACCAGCATCCACACAGGATGCTAGCACCGTAGGCAAAAGCTTTACCCAACATGCCACCACAACGCTAGCCCCTGGGTCCCTTTCTTTAAGATGACTGTCATCTTCTCTCCCTCCCGGTATGCCTTTAGCAGGTTCATTCTCAAGCCACAACCTCCAGAAGGGGTCACTGGGCTTCTTCCTTCAACAGAGGAAGCCGAGAGCAGGGTTTTTTTTCTTCCAACTACAAACCTGGGCCACAAAATCCTTTGGCTTGCTGCTGCATTTTGCAAGGAGGCAAAAAAGCAGAAGGACTATTTTGATTTTCGGTAGGGTGGAGTGACTGTCATCCTGGGCAGCTGATGTGGTGAAGGCTACTGACACTGCCCCAAAGAAAGGCACCAGCAGGTGCCCCCACAGCCCATGGGTGAGGTAGGGCAGAGAAAGAGCTTAGAAACCAGGTCTAGGTGGGCTCCCAGCTTCCAGCCAGCTCCTCATCCCAGGAGATAGGCATCCAACCACTTCCTCAGGGACTGCCACAGGTTTACCATTGGAATCGGTTACCTTTCACTTCCTCAGCAGGCACCTGAGAATATAAACACCTCACAAGGTAGGGGGCTGCTTGGTGCCCTGGACCCCTCCCACGTTCTCAGGCCCCCGCCTTTGCAGCCAATGGCCCACTCCAGCCCTGAGAGTGAGGCTGTGCCAGCTGTTTCCTTGGGAACCGCTCACCAGTGTCTGAGCCCTTTCCTCAGCGGAGGAGACACCCCAACAGTTAGGCAACACAGCTGCCCAGAGCCACGCAGGTTTCTAAGGCGAAGTTCTGAGAAAGGGAAAACAGAAAGCCCTGGTCTTCCCATCATGGTGTTCACGCTGGTTTCTGGGTCCTGGCAAACAAAACTCAGCAACACATCGAACCTGGACCCCTCCCTAACTACTGCGCCTGGCATGCTCTCCTGTTTGCTGTAAGCGAAAGAGGAAGGGGGGGGGAACACCCACGGGGCTAGCCTTAGCAGAGCCAGCTCTCTCCACAGCCGGGGAATGGCACCTCCCCAGCCCACATTCCTACCCTCCAGGGGGATGCAGCCCCCAGAATTATGCAAATTCACCCATTCCAGTAGGAGGCTGCCATGTAAGATTAGCAAAAGATCTCAGCATTCTTTCTGATGCAAGTCATGATAAAATATCTTTGCTTCTGCAAACTCCTGCACTACATTTGTGGCTGCCATGTGCAAGATCGAAGCTGTCAGATGCACTCCCACCCCATTTCAAAAGGAATCTCAAGAATCAGAGTGGCCAGACCCGCGCGGGACTCAAGATCTTAGCTCAACACGTCCTTTAGGCTTGCATGATAGTTGCTCGTGTAGTGAGAGAATTCCAGGGGGGGACGGGCAGAAGGAGTCTACAGTTTCTTCTATATATTGTAACTAAATTAATGCAATACCAGCAAAAGAAAAATCCTTATAGAAAAGTGTTTGCATTTCAACAGGATCCATTGGCCAGGGTGGCCAGAGCAGTAAGGGAAAAGTCACAACCTTCACACACTCACACACACACAAAGTTGAAATACACAACTTTCTTTTTTTCTCTCTCCAGTGCTGTGTCATCTAACCTCAGCAGGAGGAGTATGGTTTTGCACCCACATTTAAGCCAACAAGGAGGCTACCTGAATTTCACCCCACCCCAGGAGAGCTGAACAACCGCAGGATTCCCTTAGGACTTTCTGTCAGATTTCCCTCCCCGACAGGGAAGGGGACAACGGCTGTTAAGGATAGCTGGAGGGTGATCACAAAGCCCAAGGAACCTGCCGTGACTGCCGGTGTACTGCCCAACTCCTGGGCCCCAGACCTGTGGGCTTTGGTATCGGCTCTGGGAAACCGTGTTCCTGCCCGCCTGAAGGATACACACAGCGAGGCGACGCTGTCCGCTGCCTCCATTCCCATTCTAGTGGACTCTGTGTGTGTGTGTGTGTGTGTGTGTGTGTGTGTGTGTGTGTGTGTGTGTGTGCGCCCCGGCCAGGAGCGGGCGACATGGGCAGAGGGAAAAACGTGCGCTCAGCCTGCGCTTCCAAGCGACCAAGCAGGCTAGGGAATCCGGCCCTCCACAGGCACGCCGCTACGGTAAAGGTAATCACCTCGCGCCCCCAAACCATCACCGCCAGGGTCCCAGGCCGAGCAGCACCGGGTGGCCTCTAGCTCGCGGCTCCAGTGACAAAGCTCGCAGTCGAAGGCGGTTCCCAAACCTCGGGTCTCCCGGCGCAAACGGAGCAGCCAAGACCATCCCAGCAGTCGCTCCCCCCATCCCGGAACTCCAAGGAAAGTTTCCCCTTCTCCAAGAGCGCGCAATTCTCGAATGAATCGAGAACAACCCTCCGGTTCCCGGGTCTTCCCGTGGGTTGCTCCGGACTCGGGCACCACCCCTGGGCTCAGGCGGTTAGGGCGCTCCCCCACTTAGCCCCTGGGCTGCCGCCTGTCAGCTCCGGCGGGACGGCGACAGTGGGTCGCCCGCGCGGCTGCCGCCGATTCTCTCGATGCAGCCACGTTAGCCATGGAAGACACACACACAAGAACAGGCCGACTTCAGAGCTCACCTCGGGGCTGCGCTCCCCAGGTCTTGCCGTGGGTCACCGCGTCGCTGTCCTCCGGGACGCAGCCGGGCGCCGCGGAGCATTGTTTGGAGAGGCACCGCGCGCTCTGCGTGCCCGGCCGCGGGCGGCTGTGGTCTGCCTGGGCCCCGCGGCCGGCTGGCAGCTGCGCGCGCGGCTCCGCCCCCTCCGCCTCCGGTGACGCCGCCCGGCCCGGCCCCCGCCGCCCCGCTGCAGTCCCCGCGCCCCGCGCCCCTCCGCGCCCGCGCGCCCGCCGCCGCCGCCGCCGCCTCCCCGGCGGGGATCCCGCCGCCCCGCGCGCGCCCGGCCCGCCCTCGGGCTCCCGGCTCTGGGGCTCCGCCTTCAGCCCGTTGCGGGGTGCTGCCGACGGGCCAACCCTCAGCTTCCAGCCCCGGGGGTCCCGCTGCCCGTCGTCGGCGACCTCCGGGGCTGCTGGGGGAGGCGCAGCTGTGGCGCGGCCAAGCTTCCTTTGGCCACCAGGTACTGAGGTTGGGTGTAGGTGCCCCACGGCCCTCAGGTTGGGAGAAGCAAGGTTGAGGGGAGTGGGAGGCCGGCTGAGAGGGGTCGGAAGCACCGCGGCTAGGGCTCCTGGGAGTCGGTTTTGTTTCCTCAGGGGCGTTTGGGCGCGCGGGAGGGAGCTGGGCGACGGCCCGAACTGCAGCTTCCTGGTCCTGCTCAAAGCCTCTTAGCACATTGCTCAACCTCATTGAATTCCAGTTTTCTAGAGGTAAAATGCACAGTACTGGCCTTGCACCTGGCTGGGACAGGCAGGCCCTTCGCAGGCCACTGCACCTGAGCGTACACCCCGTGAGTCATGCGCTGAGACAGTCCTCGGGCTACACATTTCTTCCCCGGGAGTGATGACAACCGCGATCCAATCACTCCACCTCCCTTCCCGCTGCTGCCTGGGCCCTTGCACCTTGCCCTGGGTGTTGCTGCAGGACACCTGAGTGGAGGACAGTTCCCAGAACTTTGCAGCCAGGGTGGGGGTTCGTCAAACGGAACAAGAATAAGATCCCTCCCCAAGAGGGGGAGGGGCAGATAAAATTCATGTGGCCTTCCCATCGTATTTGGCCTTTTCATTGCATTTGGGGTCTTCTGCCAACTAGCGAGCACTATTGATAGGAGAAAGAGGGGTCCTCTAAGATTCCTGTGCTTTCTTTCCTTACCTGTGCCTGTGACATGGCTGGCCCTGGAAGAGGAAGTAGGTGAAGGGGACCGAAGAAGGAAAAATATTCTTGAAGCCTGGCTTTGTCCTGTTCCTGTGTGAGCTGTTTATCTGAAGAGGATGGATAGAATTAAGCAGTTATGTGGGCACGGAAGGAGGGATGGGAGCAGAAGCAGCGTTCATTAAGTGCTTACCCTGTGCCAAGCAGCCCTACAGAGTAGAGACTACCATTAGCCCCATTTTACAGAGGAAAAAACTGAAGCTGAGAATGCCTGGGCTCTGCATGGAGAAGCAGTCAACCTGGTGTTGAAACCAAGAGCTGTCTGGCTCTACTGCCTCAGGCTGTGCTTCTGAATACTGGAAACCAGCCTGATTTTTCTTCTTTCCAAAGTAGAGAGAAATTATTTGAACACACAGGACAGCAAACTCTGCTGAACTCTGTTAGTACCCATCAGAGCCGAGCATTCGACCTACACAGGTGGAAAGACCCAGGAGGGAGAGGTGTTGGCAAGCAGGTGTCTCCCAAGTCCTCGGCACAGGAAAGATGCCAGAGCCTCGTAGAGGTGCAGGTAGTTCAGGCACGTGTGGAGAGAGGGCAGAAGTGGGTCTTGCAGCAGGTGCTGCTTCCTAGACCCCAGCCCGGGGGTCCTGCATGCTCCCTTGGAAGGGGACATTCACCCCACAGAAGAAACAAACGCTGTCTTGAAGACCCAGGAGACACTTCTGCACCCTTTATGCCTTTTCTCTTTATCTAATTTATTCTTTATACACAGATCAGCTAAAGAATAGAATTGGGAGAAGCAGCTGTCATGGTGTGGCAAGACCACCTATTGGCTCTGTGGCTTGGGACAGCTGTTCGAAGGTTCATTCAGCATCCCTGCCAAGTAAACTGTGTCTCCTAGCAGTTGGCTGTGCTCACACAAAATACATTACACTGTAGCTGCTGACATGTAATGTGCATCTTATTATGCCAACAACATGTTCGTAAAGCTGGCTTCATCTTGCCTGATGAAAAGAATCAAAAGCTAGATGCATACGAGACCCCCATACTCTCACACAATGCTCTGCCATTGCCGGTTAAGGAGGTGACTTCCTCAGCCTAGCTGCAGTCAGCTCATGCATTTCATAAACACTTCTGCTTGAACTGGCAACCTGCACCACGCAGTGCAGTGGGGTTGGCATACACAGTGTTTTGCTCCAAGCTCTTACCAGTTCATTTTCATGACATTTTTAACTGCAGGGTTTGGGCTTTGAAATAGAGACCAGGGCATTGAAGAGGAGCTGTTCGCTTCATGATGTTAGTCCACAGGCTCTCTTCTGTCAAGGAAATGCTTAGAGCTTGGGAAATTCAGGGAAGACACAGAGACAGTAGTGCTTTGGCACTAACAAAACAAGTCTGGAGGTCAGTCCCATGACACAGTAGGTTAAGTGACCAACTGCCCATATGGGCACTGGTTCTAATCCCAACTATTCCACTTCCGATCCAGCTCACTGCTAATGGCCTGGGAAAACAGTGGAAGCTGGCTCAAGTCCTTGGGCCCCTACACCCATGTGGGAGACTTGGAGAAAATGCAGCTCTAGCCGTTGAGGCCATTTGGGAATTAAACCAGTGGATGGAAGAACTCTCTGTCTTCTCTTATCTCTCTGTACAATCTGCCATTAGAAAAAAAAAAAGGGAATCTGGAATTAGAACAGCAATAGGGTAAAATTATGAAGTGTGTACCATCAGAGTCTATCATAGAAGCACAAACTGGTCACCAGCATGAAGGTTGAATCAAAGCTATTTCATACATGCTACTTTCCCAGTAAAAGATGAGCTATTTCTGACCTTCGGGAAAGAAAGGTGCTCTATTTGAGTCACCAGATGTTGAGTGGCACTGTCTTAGGAAGTGCTGAGTGAGTTACTGGGAGGGAAAATAAAGAAAGGTGAGTAAGAGAGAAAATGCAAGTTCTGAGATGAAGATAAGCGAGAGCCAGAGGGGCTCCAAGTGGGAGAAACACACACACACACACACACACACACACACACACACACACACACACACACACACAGAAAAAAAGAGGTTTCATGGAGAAAGGCGACTTGGAGGAATGAGAAACATTTCTATTTGTGGCCGACAGGGACTTTCCGGCCTGAGAGAATGGTGTCCACAAAGGAAGGGACATGGGCAAGCGAGACTTCTTGCAGTCGGCCTGGAGCGTGGATATTGGAGACGCGCCTGGGAATGCGGTGAGGCACTGGCTCAGAAGCACTTGCTTTCTGTGTGAGCCAACAAGAAAGTGTTATTTCTGAGTGACAGGATGACATCATCCCGGGAGTTTCTCCTTAGTCTTATCTGGAATTTTGTCTCCCAGAGAGGATTAGGAAACAGCGCCAGAGATGGGAGCCAGGGAGATTGGCTTGCATTTTCTGCCCTGGGTCCAGATATCAGGTAGGGGACTTTCATAAGGGGGCTGGCAGAGGAAACAAGATGGACAGTGTGTGGGACCCTTGAAGAATACAGGGACTGGCTCCTCACCTGTTGGCTGATAATAGTATCTGTCCAGGGTGCTTCCTCTGCATCAGGATCTTGGTGCCAAAGACTGTGAAGTGGCTTTTCTCTCTTAAACTTCACAGCAACACTGCCTTAAGTGGGAACGCTGTCAAGGTGGAATTGAAGATGAGCCTTGAAACGGTGAAGACATCAGTTCCCATAGGAAAGCCAGAGAATTCCCTTTTGTGATCTCTTTGAGTTGAAAGGGTATGATAGCCTTCCAGTAAGCCAAATTTGCCCTCTGGAGGTGGTGCTTAGAGGCCCAGGGGCCAATGAAAGAGGCTGCAGGAGTCTTGCAAAGACAGAGCAAAGAAGATGAGTCAAGGTGAAGGTCATAGGCCACAACCCCCTAGAAGAGGTCTGGGTGGAAAGGACCCTGCCCCCCTTCTCCCCGCCCCCAGGGTATTTAAATTCCAGAGAGAAGCTTCAAGAGAGATCCACAGCCAGGGGGAGAGGTGGCAGGAGGGAAATCCTTGGGGAATATTTGAACAAAGCTTGGACTCTGGGCTGCTCTGTAGCAGGAAGGGGTGGCAAGGAACACCCCCCCAAGGAAGACATGAATCAGATGAGAAACATGAGTGGATTAAGTGAGCTGGACAGGGAGGCAAGTGGGAAGAGAAGTTTTACCTGCTGGGAGGAGAGTGCCACTCACAAGAGAAGGCAAGCAATGCATAAGAAAACCAAGGGAATGTGCTTGATACCCTAACCTCAAGGTGCACTCAAAGCTGGGTCTGCCCCATCACACCCAAAGCCACCATGGAGGGGTTTGGGAGGGGGTAAGGAGGGGAGAAAAAAGATAGCGGTGTAAAAATCAGCAAAGCCCTTAGGAGCTGCTCCTGTAGGTGTCCTTGGTCCCATGCCTTTCTCTCCTCCCAGAGCAATCACCAGCTCTTTGGGCTGCCAATTTAGAGCCATCTCTGTCTTCATTGTGGTGCAGAGACTCAAGCTGCCTTTTCAGCTAATCCTCAGCCTGTAATTAAGGCACCACTTCCTTGTGTCCCAGTTGACCATTCCAACATCTTTACTTTCCCAAGTTTATTCCTTGGTAGCATTATGCAGGATAGAGAATTCTGAATAACTGACAGTGTCATCATCCAAACACTGACAATGGGTTGTTTTTTATTGCTGGCCAAACTGAAATTATTATTTGAATAACAATGGCTGGGCAGGGTGTCAGAATCTCAAACTACAGAGGACTGAGAGCCAAAGGCTCAGAAGGTCTGTAATGTTTGTGTCTCAGCACCACTGAACTCAGATATCAGGGGTAAGAAGAAAGACAGTCCCTTCCCCTTTTCAGTGTAGTTAGAAGTATATTCAGTGATATACACACATTATGAAGTTTTTGCAAACCTCATTTTTTTTTTCCAAATGTGACTGCTTGTGCATCAAGCAGTATTTCCCCAAA